TGCTTTTGAACTGTGGTGTTGGAGAAGACTCTTGAGAGTCCCTTGGACTGCAAGGAGATCCAACCAGTCCATCCTAAAGGAGATCAGTCCTGGGTGTTCATTGGAAGGACTGATGCTGAAGCTGAAACTGTAATACTTTGGCCAGCTCATGGGAAGAGTTGACTCATTGGAAAAGTCCCTGATGCTGGGAGGGAATTGGGGGCAGGAGGAGAAGGGGGTGACAGAGGATGAGATGGCTGGATGGCATCACTGACTCGATCGGCATGAGTTTGAGTAAGCTCCGGGTGTTGGTGGTGGACAGGAGGCCTGGGGTGCTGTGATTCATGGGGTTGTAAAGAGTTGGACACGACTGAGCGACTGAACTGAACTGAACTGAACTGAAGTAAAACGTCACTGAAGGGAGTCACTGAGAACAATCCAAGAAGGTGCTCTTTCTCATGATCTCAGTCCTGAGAACTGCATGCAGCTCTGCTCATTCCTGTTTCCCAGGAACTGAAAAGGAATAGAGAGTCCTTGAGAAACAGCACACAAAAGAATAAAATAACATATTGGATCCCTTAAAGTTGAATGTCCCCTGACAGGAATGAGAATGCATTCCCACCCATTCTAACCCATTCAACTGACTCTACTAGGATTGCCTCATTCATCTAATGCTGTCACCCAACGTTTCTTAATCCAAGAGTGTGTATATATAAGTAGAGTTGGAATATAACTGCATCAACTACTACCAAGTGTGGACAACAGGAAGCCTCATCATTTGAGACCAGCCCTTTACATTTATAACTTAGGTGGGTATCATAACCAGTATGTGAGAATATTTGCCATATATTATTGGAAAGAGCAGCTCAAAAGAACCAGTAATGTTTATAATGCCATACTCTAATATTTCTGATTTTAAAATAAGAGAATAAACAGTAAATTTTAAGCCTAAAGAAAAAATTTAAAAGAGTGATTGTATTTTTTAAGGTAAAAGATTTGTAGGTTGTTTAAAGAAAATGTTTTGTTTTTCAGACAAAGATTAGAAAATATTTCCTGCTTTGACTTATCACATGCTCCTTAAAAAGCAGTTGACCTTTTCTGTGTCAATGACTCCATTTTAAATGTTATATTTCAGTTTTTTATCTATCTTACATGAATCCACAGGCCAATATTGGTTTAGAACAGAGTTCCTCCAAGTGTGTTCTCTCAAACTAACCATGGGAATGTTAACAGAGTGAGTTGAGATTATTTGAGATCAAATAATCACTGAAAATAATTTGTTAAACAAAGGTACCCACAATTCTACACTGAGGGAATGTCAGCACCTTTACTATGCTAATATGAATTCTGACTTTCCAAGAAGTGGAATATAGATTGAAATATTTCCTAGATTTATTTGAAAATACAACTATTAAAAATGGCTATCCAAGAGATTTTTTTTTATAGGACATAGGATTCTTGGATAAAAGGGAAAAACAAATTCAGCAATGTAATCTTCATGTTATCAGTAAAATATTACCTGAACACCTACTGTGTGCAGAGTACTATTTGAACTATTTTCTGTACAATTTAAAATTTAACACAATAAAGCTACTGAAATGCACTATCCCACATTATGGTTACAAATTAAATATCATATTCTGAAATTTATTATTTAAAAGAATTTGGACAATTGCTTGAGCATTTGAAGCTGAATTCTCATTTCTGCTTACCTTCTTTCTACATTCGTAGGGAGAAGAGAATAGCCAGGGTCAGGAAGCTCTGGCATAAAGATGGAAATCAGGAGACTAGATTCTATTCCTGGTTCTGCGTCTGTGAACCTGGGCGAGGCACTTAACCTTTCAGTCCTAGCCTACTCATCTACAGAGGTGGGGGGGTGGGGTGCTCAGTAAATGATGTCTAAGTTTCTCTGCTTCTTATGTTCAACTGTTCTTGATCAATAAAGGTAGTAGAATCAGAGGAAGAAGATAAGGATTGATGTGAGCCCCTCATGCTCTGCGAGGACAATATTTACTCCCTGGAAGATACATTCATTTCTAGGGGCAGAATAGGGTATCTCAATTACGCTATCATTGAAGGATTTTGCTCATGAGATGGTGTGTAAACAGAATGGCTTTGTACAAGATTCTCATTCCATTTATAAAAGAAAATTTGGAATTTCGGCCTACTGGGGACTTGGCAAGGGACAAAAATAAAGGTGCAGGAAGTTTATTTTCCAATGAGTCTTCTAACCAGGAATTCAATGTTCCTCCTTTACTCTGCTAGAAGAGCTGGTCCTAATGAAGTTTATAAGAGATTTAAATAGTAACCACTCTTGGGATAATTTGGATTCAATTTTTAAAAAATCTAGCATAAAGAGAGCAATGCTTACTAAAAGAAGTATCAACTATTATAGAATTTCAGGCAATAATAGAGAAAATTTAAGACTGGAGGATCAATCTTGCTCCCTCCACAAACCACAGCAATAGTGCCTTACCTTGACCATGAAGGCTGGTTGCAATACCCTACTGAAAGAATACATGAAAGTGAAAGTGAAAACGTTAGTCACACAGTCATGTCTGACTCTTTGCGATCCCACGGACTGTAGCCCACTAGGCTCCTTTGTCCATGGAATTCTCTGTGGAAGAATACTGGAGTGAGTAGCCATTCCCTTCTCCAAGGAATCTTCCTGACCTAGGCAATTTATAAGACAATTCCATATTCCTTCAAAGTGGTACAATGACCCAGCTTGATAATTAAGGAAGAGCATCATTGATGATCCTTGCCTGAATCAAATATGAAATTGGGGACTGAAAAATGATGATTTATCTAATTCTATCATTCTTTCCATAATGAATAAAACTTATTCATTCTTAAGAAATGCTACAGACTTGCAACGTTGTTTTTTTTTTTTTAATAAAATGCTTTAGAGTCAATTACCATCATTTTTTCTGATGCTCAAACTATGCCAAATTTGTGCAGTAGGAGACCCTTCAAGGGGACTCTTATGTCCTTTCGGCACAATCTCACTAGTTTTTGAATGATTCACTGCTTTCTGGCACAACGATATACTCAGTGTTCACTTCTATTATTTCCCAACCCAGATCTAGAATCCTGGTTCCCTTCAGTGGAAAAAGCAGTTAGAAACTAAGATACAGGCACACTGATACTGATAATTCAAATTTAACACTACAGGGATTTGTTTTCTACTTTTATTTTATATTTATATCTCCTTTTCCCTGCAGTGAAAATCCTTTAACACCAATACATTTGTTCTATTCCATAGTATAGCAAAAAACAGTCTCAGAATTTCCAAACCAATATTTCCACTAACAAAAAGCCCACAAAGTGAAGATTGGAATTCTTTTCACCCTCTGACAATAGTCCTAGTGTGTGTGTGTGTGTGTGTGTGTGTGTATACATATATATATTCAGAATACTATATTCAAATTTTACTGAATTCTTTTTCTATGTAGCTTTGTTATCAATTTTATATTGAGTTAGCCACAGTTGTTTCTGTTTGTTTTCAAGTTGAGACAATTGACCTAACATTATATTTTAATTCAACAGAAGCCTGAAAAATG